TTAGGGATTAGGGTCTAGGGGTTAGGGTTTAGGGTTTAGGGTTTAAGGATCAGGGTTTAGGGTCACATGTGGTTTATCTAAGGATGAGGGAAAACAAAATGGAAACCCCTATAGTAGTTCCCATTTTCTTGTCCATGATCCTTATTGTAATCGTGAAGCCTCTGAGAGTACAGGACAAAGTGCTCAATGTCGGCCGTCAATCTGCATTTGACTACTGTTGGGGCCTCATTTTCAATGGAGTCGCTCACGAAGTCTTTGGTGCGGAAGAAGGTTGAAATCGTCCAGGCAGTGGCGTCGATGTCCACAGCCAGTGCCCTCAAAATGTCTTCGGGCGTGATGAAGGAAATGAACAGGCTCGACCTGCCATTGTCCCTGAAGGCACTCTGGGAGCACACATGAGCTATAGTCTAAACTCTCAAGAGGTGGATATATAGGGATTATATAGGGGACTACTATAGAGGCTGTTAAGGGGGATACTAGGAGTTGAGACTACAGCTCACATGACCTGCATACATTCAGGCTGATGAATGTTCCCGAGCTGCAGCGAACCATGGAGGTCGGAGGGCTTTGTGCTTGTGCCTGCTGGTTGCTGGAAGGGTTCGTGGGTCAAGTGCGGGAGGGTCACGAAGACGTGACTGAAAACAATCGCAAGAAAACTGCCTGACAACTGAAATCTGTTTGGGCTCCAGGGCTCAGCAACAAGCCTGATGGTGTCTTCCTAGCCTTTCGCACCTTTGATTTCATTTGGCCGCCCGCTTCGCTACAGAGCCTGGAGCAAAAAAGAGTGGACTTTCTTACAACGTCCGAAGAGGAGACAAAATGAAATGAAAATTACCCTATTATAATAGGGTATGTATTGGGGTCATATTGGGATGATGGACAAATGGAGACTACTATTTCGGGTTTAGGGTTTAGGGTTTGGGCGTTGTACATGATGCTTCCTGCAAACCTGTTTCAGGCTGATGTGTTGGCATCGTCTTGAAATAGTAGTCAGCACTATCTTCCATTATCCCAATACAACCCCAATATAACCGGGTGGCGGCTCGTGTTGTAAAGTTTTACGACAGTACCCCAAAGTAGAGGAGTTAAAAGATGCATAACGCAGACCCATGATTGCTAAACACCCTCCCCCTAAAAGGGATGATAATAGGAATCCTAATAGCTTCAAAGGAGGGGGTTTATTAATCAAAGGTCTACATTAGCATCTAAAAGGACCTTCATGGGAACCCCAAAACAGACCCCAATATTCCTACCAGGAAAACCATAGTAACCAAAACTCCTTAGAGGGGGGTTGTATAGGGGATTATATAGGGGACTACTATAGGGCTAATTCAGGGGGGATAGTAGGAGTTCAGACTATAGGTCATATATTCTTGGGGTTCCCTGTTTGGGGTTCCCATTTCATTCCGTTGAGCATAGCAAATTGAAAGAGAGCTGGACTGGACTTGAACAGAGCACCAAGCTTTCGTTGAGATTATCATGTGAGCTATAGGATCATATAGGGTTTAGGAGATATTATCCCCAATAATGGAAAATCCAATGGAAACGAGAATGGAGAATGACATGGAAGATAGGCAGAGTATGGGCTATAGTCTAAACTCCTAGTATCTCCCTTAAGCACGCCTATAATGCCTGAAATACCCCCCTAGACAATCTCATTATATAGACCGCTTTCAGGAGTCTAGACTGTAAGTCATGTGGGTGTTACTTGTTTCTCGAAGTCTGCTCCGATGGGAATTCCCATCATTTCCGTGTGCCCCCGGCATCTCGAAGGCAGCACTACTTGGACGTAGTAAGCAGGATAGTAGCTAATCATGAGGATAACTTTGGCTAGAACATACGTATTCTGGCTAAGTCTCCCTGACCTTCCAAGTATTTTGATAAGTTCCCGTTTGTCTGTGTGCAGTGGATGCAGGACATGCGCCAAGAGATGATGCGTGCTGAGATTGCAGATGAGATGATGGAAGAAGGACACGGGCATGCCATAGATGGTTGAGAGATGGATTTTCTCGAAATTGCCGCTGTAGAGTCCTGGACAGGGACCCTATATCCTTAGGGGCCCGAAGCGCTCCGTTGTTTGGAGAAGTTCCCAAATCTTAATCAAGTGGCAGACAAGAGTCAAGCATGCTGTGTATGCAGGCTTTCAAGAGTCGGACGATGAGACCGAGATAGATTCTGCAGTTGCCAGAGTTTACGAGGTCGCGGCGCAAATGGTAGTTTCCCAAAACAAGGGGTCCCTGAAGTTGGCTTGGCTGTTTCCAGAAATAGAGGGACCCCAATATAGACCCCCAAACATTATAATCCTTATCATGAAGACCCTCCATAAGGTACCCCTAATTTTGGGAAACCTCCAAATTGGTTTGAATGCAGATTGGACACGAGAAGCAAAGCTGTGAAGCTGCGCAGCTGCAGGAACTTGCGCTCGACAAGTCTCAGCTCCTGGACACAGGCAGCTTCGCCTGTCACATCAGTTTCCATTCTATGTTCCATTATCCCACTATAACCCTTTAATATTACCCTAATGTTACCCTAATATAACCCTAATACTACCCCCATGGTACTTTCATCCTCAATGCTTTGGTTGTGTCCAGGAGCTACAACGGCTTCTCCAGCACCGGTTGCCACGCCTGCACCGGAAGCTACGGAGGCGATGGGAATTCCATCAACTACCGATTGGGGTAATATTAGGGCTATATTAGGGTAATGTTTGGGTAATATTATAGGGTTATATTGGGGTTATCTTGAGATAATGGAAAAATGTCCGGAAGGTGAGGCAAGATTGAAGGGCTGCCTGTCATCATGAGAGGACCCACTGATGCAGCGGCTACAAGCACTGCAAAGGCAGGGAGCGTGCTGATCACAGAGTTGGCATGATCCGTGGCAGTTTGCTTGGGAGGTGACCCCATGCAGTTCCGTACCTTTTGCTTAGACGTCTGATTCTGCTCGAGCACATGGCATAACGCAAAGCGTTGCCGAGCGTAGCGCGCAGTCTTAGTCAGCACCTGCTTGCAGATTATTATTGCAGTTGGTGCAAATGATGTCTGGATATGCCTCCGGGCGCTGTGCCGGTTGTGAACAACTTTGCCACTTGGGCAAGCCGCTCTTTATCGGATGCACAGACTGCGCAGAGTGGGCAAAATGAATGGATGGTGACGGTGCTGCTATTTGTTGGATTGCGAAAGAACCCCCAAAGCTGCCAGAGCAAGTATTGACAATGGTATTCTTGTGCAGGGACATGCATCAGTTGCTTCTTCTCTGCTTTAGGGAGGCCTGCTACGTCTTGCTAAGCAAGCACGTCAGAAAAATGAAGAAGAAAAAAGGGCCAAGGTCAAGCTTTAGGGACCCAACCCCCTCGTCCTCGCTTGCTCCTCGTCCCCCACAGTGGTTCTGCCATCGCACCACCCGTGCGTTGTCTCCTGTCCGCTTGCCCGGCCGTTGCCCATTACCCAAGCAACACACGCCCCCTTGTCAGCACGCCTTGCTCATTCACCTAAACCCAGATTAAGGCACTCATTTCGTATCGCTCGCTGCGCTAAACTACTCAACCAAACAAGCAACCGACCCTGGAAGGATTTACCCGCCTGTAACATCCTGTAACAGGGACGTGTAGGTTGTCTCGGTGCTCATCTTATTTCTCAGTTTTTGGGAAGGTCAGTTCCTGGCGTTGGCCCACGACACGGTGTGCTGCGCTGTCAAACTTGCGCTGATACCCGCGCTGGCCGGCCGACGCCATGGCAATGTCCAACTGACGCAGGAAGACTGTTGCACATGTACGAGGCTGTTGTGGCTGGTAATGCGTTCGTTCATCTTGTTAGTCCAGGGCATCTTTACCTCAGTCATTCTAATTGCGATCTCCTCTCGCTCACATAATCATCTTAAGCTCCTGAAAAGTGGCAGCGTAAATTTCCGGCCAGCTCCACTTAATAGGAGCTACTGACTGTTCAATGAGGGGGCTGCCCTCTTGAGCCTTTCTTTATTTCTGGATAGGCCTTCCAAAGGCCTTCAGCACAGGGAAATTGCTAGACAAAGTATTTTTTTTTATGGCCAAGCGCTGGCAATTTGCCCCAGCTGAGAAAAATGTCTTGAGTGATATGCTTCGCTCGCCGTTTTCCGGGGATTGCAATTGATGTGGACACAAACCTTCTTCGATGGGGATCTTCTGAGAAAGCAGCATCATCCACTGTGGACCGTGATCCTTAGTTGGTCGCTGCTGAGGGTGTTGGACACGCGATGTGCTGAGCAGTGGCTCGTCGCGAGTCGCCACGACGTTTGTGTGATCGATGTGCCGTCCCGTAACGATGTAAAACAACGATAGGAGGTTCTTCAAATCGAAGCCAGAGGATCATTTGGTGGACGGCAGCCCAGAACACTCCAATCCGTTTGATTGCTGAAGCTGTTGACATGTGGCGCAGACATGAGCGTTCGGACATGGCGACACATACTAATCCATGCGGTTGTTGACCCCTTACAAGCTGGTCCATGAAGGATGACAATTAGAAATGATGGCGTGCACGATTTGATCACAGTGATTGTTGGCATTTTTGACATGTGTTGAAGATGTGAGCATACAGCAGCACGTCAGGAGTACCTGACCACGAAGGCGCTCAAGGTCATCGTGGACAGCAGCAGCGATGGCAAAGGTGTGCCGCAGCTGCCGAACAAAGGGGAACTTCCAGATTCTTCTGCTCTCAGCCGGGTTGCAAAGCAAAGCCGAGCGCTTGCAGCTTGCAGCGGTATGGCACCTGTATGATCAAGAGCGCGGATGCCTGCTCGTTGCGTCATACAAGGTGTAGGGCAGTCGGTGCGTCGAGCTGGCCGATGGCAGCGAAAATCGCGTGCGCGAAGGCACGGCGCCGGTGCAAGAGGCGGAGTCATGGCCACAGCAGTTGCTTATGCCGGGCACGGCGTTGGAGCGCTGCAAAGAGGAGGAGCAGGTGGAGGTGCAAGGAGGCAAGGTCCCGCAGAGGCAGTGTACTGAGGGGGTGCTGCCCCAGACACAACAAGGGGTCCTTCCGAGCCGGCGGCCGCGACGCTGTCCAGGCGCTCTTTCGAGTATTCCGTTGAGCTGGACGGCTTGTATTCCATGGACGTTTGTCTTGAGGTTGGCTGTGATGCCAGACGACGATGTTTGCTTCCGTGAGCCGGTCGATGTGTACGTGCTCGTGTCATTTTTGGAAATTTTTGGGAAAAAACATGGCAGGATCCTCCTATCTGGAGGTTGCGGATCTCAGCTGATGCTGCGCCGTTCACGTGCCTGCAGTGCCTTTGTAGGAGTCCGCGAACCCGAATGCAAACACGTGACACGCGATTCACGTAGATCAAACGTGTTGCGCAGGACACGGTACTAGAAACACGACGAAAACGTTCACCACTCTCCCTCCATTCCCCTGTCCTCCATCACGTCAAGTCAGGTCGCCTGTACGCGCAAAGGCAGCCCATTGATGGCACAGTGGCAACACACACATTAGACGCAACTATCGGTCACTTGAGCAATCCGGAATGGAGACGGCTTGTAGGATGTGTATTCCGCTAGTCCCCAGTCAGCACAGCAAAATTGCAAGCGAAATCCAAATATCACCATTGCTTTTGATGCGATGGCTGGACGTGAGGGGATGGTGAATTGCCATACATACAAAGAAAGTTTCAATGCAAGTTGCCAAAAGGCCAAAAGGCTGACACAGGCGCTCATAAGGCTCTGGAAAACATGACCGCTGATATGGAATAGGATGCGACCCAGGAGAATTTGTTGAAACTACGGTTTCGCAATGAGGCCACGCATTTCGGACACAGCCCATGTGCTTTTTCACTGGAACGTGGGTGGTTGGCGCTGAAAAGTCTCTCGTTTCGCTAGATGGAGTTCAGCAATTTTTGAGCAGGGGGATGAACGCGTGTTCCGGCACGCGTTGCCGCCATTTGTACGAGCATCCATCACCTGGCACAGCCTGACAATCAACTACAGCGCCATCGAACCCCCAAAGGAAGAAGATGACAGGCAACAGGCCACAACCAGGATCCCAATTTCCAATGCAATCGGGGGTTCCGCCCGCCCGAACACCGGGTGTCTCACGCGCAACCGTTTGCCCGTGCAGGACATTTGTTCCAACCATTCCGGCTGATGGTTCGCTGCGGCTGTACTGTGCGATGCACGTGGCCCTTCAGCGTTGGAAACTTTTCAACCTCCCCCAACGCATGCTCCTCTACCGAGCCCCGGCGACTGTTGGCTGAGGCAACCCAGTCAGGCCTTCACTGGGAGGACGCGGTCGCCCACCCCAAACGAGGCCTGCAGCCGGTTGCCCTTGTGGCAACGGCCGCGTGCGGGCTTTGGGTTTTCCGCTGCCTCATAGGCAGCCGGGGCACCATGCGTGAAGGCGACGCGTGCTGGTGCAAGTGGCCGGAACCAGAGCACAGGCGTGGACTGGCACCGTCCGGAGGGAAGCAGGCTCGAGCCAACGAACTTGAGATGCGGGCAGTGGTTCAGGGCCAGACTGGGCTTGTGAGGGGTCATCAGGGCGTTATGTAAAGGAGACAGCCTCTTCTACCGCCCGAGAGCTGTGACTGCCCTTGAAGGGAAGAACGCGCAAGCTGACTCTACGACGGGGCTTGGAACGAACCGCATCTTGCAACGCTGTGAGGCATTGCGAAGTGCAAGCAGGACATTGCAGCTGCTGCGCAGCCGTTGCCCACAACAACGGGTCATGTGCTTCGATGGATTGCAAAGCGTCGTCCCAAAACGCATTCTGCCCAGCTCGCATTCCGCCCAGCTCGCAGTCTGCCCAGCTGCTCAAATACTTTTGGCCGACCGACACGGTGTGAGAGGAGCCGGAGCTGATGGGTTGCCTTGTTTGCAGCCATCCCCTTGCGTCAGGCGCTGTTCCGCACATGAAGAAAAGGCGGCGCAGCGTGTTGGGTGAAGGCGCGCTCTACGGACCGGGGCGGTCCTGCCCGTGTGTGCCTTTTCCGTGAAAATTCACGTATTCACACCGGGCTCAACGCCAAGGACGGCTAAGCGGCAACGTGCTGATCGGAACAACCCTGGGTAGGTTCCTTCCTTGCCGATTGGGCTACGCGGCAATGTGCTAAGCTGCGTCGGTATTGTTTCGCCGCTGGTGGCGGTAGCAGAAAGGGGGGCCACCGCTGCGATGTCTGCTTTACAGAGAAGAGCGTAAAAACAGCGGTCGACTGGTCGACTTCGTGAATTCTGGGCGGCACCTTAGCAGGATTTCCTTGTGAGCACCTCTTTGGAAATACGGAGCACTGAGCCACCCCGACCACCCCAACCCCAACACTAAACCCTAAACCCTGAATCCTTAAACTCTAACCCTTAAAT